TGATCCCAGAAGCACCGGGCTCCTGGCCAATCCCAGAAGCACCGGGCTCCTGGCCAATCCCAGAAACACCGGGCTCCTGGCCAATCCCAGAAACACCGGGCTCCTGGCCAAACTCCTCGCTGTCGGAAGGCCGCACCAGAGGGGAAGGGCCTGGAGAGGGAGGCCTGGCCATCTCCTCTCCTTCATGTTCAGAGCCTTCCTCCTCTGATGAGAGGGACCCACCGGACGGAGCCACAACATACAGTATAGTGTATATCTTAACTTCAGCAAGCATTTGATAGTGTCCTGAGACACAAAAAGCACATTCAAAATAGATCTGAAAATAAGATTGGTTCTTAAATGCTACCATTTACTTACTCTGGTGGTGCTGGCAAGTTTTTAGGATGTTTTAAGGATAGACATAAACGAAGCCTTTTTTGTGGAACATCATCACTACTGCTACTACTTCCCCCATCAGTATCAGAAGTCTCTGGAAAACACCTACACTGCAGTTCCTGGATGATTTCTGCTGTCACAGACTTCAACACTACATAGACTGGACTCAGCAGATACTGAGTCAAAAAGAAGAAATTATACTATATAACATCTTCATAAAATTCATATTTAAACAGGATAAAGGTCATAAAAATCTCATATATACTTCCTTGTAATTACAGTATTATGTATGCAAACAGATTTATTCATTTTAAATTTTTAAGCTAAATACATACCAATCAATTATAAATTCCACTAAATCAGTATCCTATACTGAGGTTACAGTGTAAACTCATGAATTTAGACCACTAAAATGTAAGTTATTCTTTTTTGTGTCAGTATAGAAAACAGAAGCTACTGATACAAAACCTGATGGCATTAGCCTGGTTAACACTAAATCCAGTAATTTCCTCAAAATAATTTTCTCTTAATCTGTTTAACATTTTGTGCCAAACCTTTGTTAACATTTTAATAACACTTACCTCTTGTTCTATCTGGCATCCAATTGCTGAGATGAAAAATCTGCAAATGTTGTTAATATAAGTTTTTCTAACCAGAACAGCAGATTCATATCCAGCTGGTACATACATCAAGAAATACTGTAGTATGTGACATAATACTTCTTTTATCTTCATAGACTGGAGAAACCTGAGCGCATCAGCTTCAAACAATGCATGAAGTTTTTCTAGTAGTATGTTTAGATAAATAGGTTCAAAAGTCTCATGGGAATGAATTTGAAAAGGAAATAAAGTTCTCACTAATATTAAGAGTGGTTCTTCATATAATTCCAGCTTTGCAGAATCCATTATAGGAATGGATTGCAAAATTCCAAATAGAAATGAGAAGAAATTATTGGCTAGGTCTTCTGGAAGTCCTCCAAGCTCTAGGAGTTCTGTTAAAAATGCCATACTCAAAATTTTAACTTTAGGGCTACCATAGTCCAAAAGGGAGCAACCTATTCCAAAAAGGATAATATCTTGTGGTTTGAAATACATGTAAGAAACTATACGAGTAAGAATCCTTATTGAAGTTATTTCCAAGCATTCTACGTTATTCATTCCATTTAACTGTAGCTGGATAGAACTTAAATTGCCCAGATTTGCAGTGGAATTGCAAGAAAATCTGCTCACAGTCACAGGCCATGTCAAAATCATCTCTATATTTTTTTCATGGATTGAAATCAGATCTTGAAGAAGATACAGCAGTTCTTTTGTTACAAGGTTAAACAAGACACAGTTTTTGACTTTGAAAAGGCAGAGTAAAGAACAAATCACATTACTAATGTTCTCATGTAAAATGTGGCAGTTTGGACTAGCAGCAATTCTCAAAAGTCTTGCTATAATCCAATTGCTGAATTCTAAAGAAAAGAAAAAAGAAAACATTATGATCATAATATTAATTAGGACTGATTTGGGCT